CTGTACCGTCTCGGATATCAGTAAGAACGCAGTTATAAAAACGCTGTGAAGGACAATTAGCATAAAACCGCGGTTAGCCGGCAGTACGAATGCGACCAGTAAACTTCAAACATCTTTATAACTGCGTTCTTACTGATATCCTCCATGCTTGGGGACAGGCTGCCATGTCCGAACATGAACACGGGGCGTGCTTTCAAACCTCTCGGCTATCAAGGCTTTTGCCACTGACCTGTACTGTCTCGGATATCAGTAAGAACGCAGTTATAAAAACGCTGTGAAGGACAATTAGCATAAAACCGCGGTTAGCCGGCAGTACGAATGCGACCAGTAAACTTCAAACATCTTACTCTTTTATGTTGCCTTTCGGTTTACAACAAATCTGTAAGAATTATAGTACAGCTACGAAAAAGTTGCACCGGAAATCACATACGACGGAACTTGTTTCGTTTTTACTAATCAATTATAGGTAATGCGATTAGAACTGAGCAATATTAAATTATGAAATCACAGCATGCGCTTGAAAATTCGATAGTTTATCAGATTGGTCTCTGTGCGCTTCCATGATAACATTTACTGTTTACCTTGGACAGGGAGTTAATTCAAACGTTTTCAGTGCAAATAATGAAGAAAGGTAAATACTGCTGGGAAACGGGTGCAGTCGTATGACGTAAAATGCCACCGTCATCTTACCTGGCCCTCAATAAGCGCCACTGTTTTGCATTGCTCCTTAAATTGTATGGGCCTTTATAGGTCGGCTACATATGCACGTTACTGCTACTACCATATTTAGCTTTTTTAGTCAATTTCGGCTCAAAACTAGTTGTTCATGCTCTGATACGCTCGAATAGAAGGTAGAGGTTTTGCGCTTGCCGAAGCGGAAATTTAATGATGAGACTTTGAATTTTTATCTTTTTCCTTGACGTCAAACAAATGGACTATGTACTTTACATCATTTTATCAGTTATATTACAATATGCTCGTATCATGTTACGAAACATTGATGAAATCTCGTGCGTCGATAAGGGTTGATGCAGAGAATATGGTATCTCTCAAGCAGGGCATATTATTGTGATAAAGAGGAATTTTTTTAATAAAACCTACGACCTCCTTCTCACCCTTCCCCCCCCCCCCAAACACGTGCAGCGAGGTAAACTCCTGGCGACACTCGAAAGAAGGCAGGGAAGAGAGATGGGAGGTTCGGAGCAACAGAGAAAAGCAAGGACAAGCTCTGTTCAGGTGCATGAGAACCCTTCCGCACTTAGTGAAGGAAGTCCAGCAAGTAATGAAGCAGAAGAAGGATGCCTACAAGTGCGGGCAGAGTAAATCGAGAACAGGAGATGTCGCCGTACTCCAGCGGAATCCACTGCACTAGTGAGGAAGCTGTAGCTAAAGCAAATAACACGAAAAGGAATGTTTTGAGGGCAAAGCACGTTGTACGCTGTGGATCCCCAACGAACGGGTCAATTCGTCTTGCTAAAGGGAGGGAGGGGGTCATGCGTACCTTCAAAAGTGTTTCCAGCTGATTTTTCTCGGTTCCCAAATGCGCTATACCCCTCCCCCTCCTCTCGCAGCTAGGTGGAATTCTCGAAAAAGTGGTAGAAAGTTGGCGAATTTGAAGAACATGGTAGGTATGATGGGCAAGGGAGGGGGAGGGATTATACATGAGGATGAACGTCTGAAGAGAACCGTACTTTGCAAAAAATTTTAAATTCTCAACAGCAGGACGTGCCCTTCTTCAAGGAGGGACTGCATGGCTTAAGGCAAACAACTTGGTTCGCAGGATAGGCGAAGCCTGCATAGGACTGGATAAGACTTCCGTGTAATAAAGGCTGTAAAGAGTAGTAGCGGCGAAATTACAAGTGAGCCACCGTTGTTTGCCTGAATGGCTTGAGGCAAACAACTTGGTTCGCAGGATAGGCGAAGCCTGCATAGGACTGGATAAGACTTCCGTTTAATAAAGGCTGTAAAGAGTAGTAGCGGCGAAAATACAGGTGAGCCACCCCATAATGTGAGCTTGCGGTCCTAAGCGAACATTGCGTAATACGGAATAATATGTAAGACATGCAAAAAATTGGCTGCAAAGTCCGGAAGACCACCAAGAAATAGCACGAGAAATTATGAATCATCAGCAACCGAGAGTTCCTTATCCAAGAGAGCTATTAAAATTACCAGTTGAATGGCCGATACATGACGCATGCACTGATTTGCGTGGGTAGACGATCACAAACTGGTAACGATAAAGAATTCTACGAATGGAGCCCTCCCCTTATCAGATTGACCAGAAGTCGCTGACTAAGCGAGGCAGTTCTTTCATAGTCTAGTTTCAATCATACGGATGTACCCTGTTGCCGAAAATGTCTATGCCTATGTAACTGCAGGCTAAAGCCATATTTGTACACTCAAAACCCCTGAGATGCGGTAGGCGTGGCTACGTACTCAAATTGAAGGTGGCGGTTGCCGAGGTTTTCGTGAGATCTTCACATTTTGAGCCAGTTATGATCATGTCCTTGTCCAACACGGACAAGATGACAGTAGTCTTAAATTCGAAAATCCACGAGAAGCCCATCTTATGCGTTGTCAACCGCGACGCCTGCTCCGTGACAGGGATGAGGAGTGTACAACAGTAACAGCTTTTTGTATTCAGACCTTTTAGGATTTGAAATACAATCTGCGGCAACGATGAAACCCCAGTTGTGGTCGAGGGCTCTTCCTTTCCCCTCCGCCCTTTGGTGCCTTTATTTGCCGACTGAACTTCTCTCAAAATTCAGGGTTTGAAGATCACAGGATTTGGTCTCTATTACATGGTGGTCACAGATATCGAGCTGTCCGTAGGTGTTCATTTAGGGTCTAGAGCAGAAAGCAGCTGGAACCTGTCTCTATGCCCCTGACTGGAACTAATCAGGGGCACAGAGTACAGCGCGTGGAGTAGTGCTTCCCAAACGAGCTTAGACGGATTCTTTTTGCCGCAGAGTGGCGACACAATTGTGACGAGAACTGATAGCCTCTTTATCTAGAGGGTTTTCGAGAGCGGCGTGGGCGTTTCTGCAGTTAGCTAGCGCTTGGTCTTCTTCAAGGCCACTTTCTAGGAAGTCACAACCCCTCTGAAACCACTCTTTTGGGCTTCACTGGCATGGCTCACCCGCAGCGTTTTCACCCTTGGTTATTCCCTCCCTGAATCAGTCACCAACAACCGATAACAATTGGGCGGTCCCTATCCCACCACTCTTGATACCGCCCAGACTAATTGCTGCGGTATCAACTGTAAGCATAGCAGAAAATGCACGAGTAGTGCCATTAAATCTGACAAGAGAAATCACCGTTTTCTACTAGTGATGGTTACGCCACAGTTCTGAAGGGACTGGAATCGATCATGCCAACGAGTGACGGTACATAGTAATAACCTCTCTTGCAGGATGTCCTTCTGAACAATTCTAAAAAAAAGCTTAAAATAAGCTGTGCTGTGAAGAAGCCCTAAAAAAAATTAGGCAGCTTTGTGAAATTCCATATTTGCTTTTTGAGCAAAGATGAAGTCTTCATATACTCATGTGAAAAACGCTTAGAGAACATTCGGTCATCTGCAGTAGTACAATAAGGCGTCGTTGCTTTCTTACTATTTCATGGATAGCAAGTTCAAACTGATGCAAATTTTCAATTGATGCAAATTTTTTTGCTCCTCTAATAATAGTCTGTTTGTCAGTTTATATCGCTGCAAGGACCGGCGCCATTATTGTGATGACTCAGCTGTCCTGCTAAAAATTCAGTTCTGGTTCCGACGTAATCCACTTAACCCGCTAATCGTAAGGTTTCAAGCCAACACTCTGGTTTGTGCTTCGCACCCCCTTATTAATGCAAGTTTACATTCTGCTCAATGAAAGGGATCTTTCTGAAACAATTCTAAAATCACAAAGTGACACTCAAATCCACGGCGCATCCCCGACATATCTTCAAACACAGGGTGTCTGATCCTAGAGGTGAAAGGAGGGGAGTGGGAGCTTCTGAACCCCGAGAGCCCTGCTCGAGAGCGCTTGGTCGAAGCTGATCGTTCTTTGGTTTATCATCCGCCCGCTCTTGTCAGCGCTACATCGCTCGCAGTAGTTCACAAAGAGA